TCCCTATGATCATTAGCACAATAAATTAGTCATTTGAAATTGTGTAAAGATTATACAAAGAAATGATCTAAAACTCATCTAGAAAGCTCGAACAAAATATTAATGTGAATAAATTTAATTGCATGGTAATAAACTATAACAAAAGATGAAAAGACGATTAGTGCAAGTTTATTTGCTCAACTTTTTTAGGGTTATAATATATGCAATTTAGTGTCAACGAGAATTAAAATAATGTGAATCGTGTGCCACTAGACTAATGGTTAGTTGATGCACTTTCAAAGATAGTTGATTAATTGAAGGAGTGGTCTTCGATTTTTTTTAGAAAAAAAAAATCAATTAAAGCTTCTGTTAACCACGCATTTTTTATGCATTATTAATGGAAGTTTAAAAAAGAAAATGCATTTAATCAAACCTTTTGTATAAATTAGTAATTTCTGTCTTAATCGCTATTGTATTAATGTTGCTATTAAACTTGTTAAAATGGTACGCATGGTATGATACTAATTTGACTGTTTTTTTTTTAATTTGGAAAATTTAAGAGTATTTGTAACCCTCGAGTAGAGGTATACAAAAAATCCGAATATCCGATTTTACGCAAAAAATATCCGAAATCGGATTTGAAAAAAAAACTGATTTTTTTTAAACCGGATCGGATATTTTAAAACCGGATAGTACAACCGATTTGGGAAAAAATTGGAAGACCGGATTTTTTACCGGTTTGAAAAAAATCAGATAAAAAACTAGTTTTTTATCCGGAAAAAAATCCGGTCTGAGGTTTAAAAAATTGGATGACTGAATTTTTTACCGGATTAAAAACTGGTTTTTTTAAAAAAACTGTTTTTTTTCAAACCGAAACCGGTTACATCATCCGGCCCTCCAAACTGGTTATGATCCGAACCGATTTTTTTATAAACCGATTTTTTGGCTTAGTGAAAAAACCGGATCGGTTTTTATCTGATCCGGATCGAATTTAAATCCGGCTATGTGCATCTCTACCCTCGAGTAAGAAAATATAGAATACTATAACAAACTCAAAATATTAAAAATATACTTTTTTAAATAAAAAAAACTTAATAAAATGTTAAAAATATTTAAAATTAAAAATAGTAAAGAATGTTTAAAAATATATCTAAAAACTACTTATTTAATATTACTTAAGTTTTTTAGTGCTTTTAGCTCTATTTTTAAAAATATAAATAAAAGTAATGGTGCACAAGAAGAATAGGTGAACCCAAATAATTTGCAAATGCCAAATATAACCAACACAGAGAAGTTAGTAAAGGGGAGGAAGGAGCAATTAAGGCAAATATCCTATCCCATGGGACTGACCTCAGAGAAGCGATTGGAGTCAGGTGGGCAAGGCAGGATCCCAATCTGGACCACTCTACGATCTTTTTTCAAACCTGCTCCCACCTAGATTTGCGAATTCTTATCGATTATTTGGCGATGGAATGAAAAGAATTAGGAGAAGAAGGCCTCATTATTGATGAGTAGGTGAGCTATCGAAATTAAGGTGATCTAAAGGGATCCACTTAAAATAAGAAAAAAAACAAACATTTAGGTTTTTATGACAAAGGCTCGTTTCTAAAATAAATAAATTATAAGAGTTTATATATATATATATATAATTCTTTTAGATTTACACAAATTTATGATCGTAGACGAGTGAAAATATATAATTAAAATTAACAGTAGAATGAGAAGATATTCATTGGAGGGTAAAAAATAATGAGTTAATCTTAGCTTTTGATTTTCCTCATCTAAAAAAGTCTGGGTGTAAATGGATCCTAACTCATAATATAATGATAATTTTGTTTTTATATTCGATTAAAGTTATCAATTTTATTTCTTATTTTCAATTATATCAATATTTTTCAACCTTTCTTATTATATTAATATTAAACTACACGTTTAGTATCTAAATCATTATTTTTGTCTGGTTTTGATACCTAAACGTTTATTTATTTCAAAATCACACCTAACGTTTATTTATTGTTTTGTTGTGGTATCTCGCCTTTTTGTTTCGTTTTGATACCTTAACAGAACCGCTGTTGCATGTGACATTTTTATAGCTAAATTACATTATTCATCACTCAACTATCTTGTCACTCCTATTTTGGTCACTAAAGTTTAAAAATTTTCGGTTTAACTACTCAACTTTCAAATTGCCCATGTTTTAACCACTCTAATTTATTTTATTAATAATTTTTGTGGCTTGAAATTTTTATTATTATTATATAATTAAGATAAAAAAAAATTAAATTTGAAAGTTAGAGTGATTAAATTAGGAGTTATTTGAAAGTTAAGTAATTTAACTAAAAAATTAAACTTCAGTGACCAAAATAGGAGTGGAGAGATAATTGAGTGATGAATGATGTAATTTACCCATAAAAATGTCATGTTTTAACATCTCCACTATGTTTTTTTACGGTGAGGTACTAAAACGAAACAAAAAGTAAATGTTAGGTATGATTTTGAAACAAATAAAAGTTTAAGTATCAAAATGGATAAAAATAATAGTTGAGATACTAAAAGCGTAGTTTACCTTAATCTTTTCATTTGATTGAAAGAAAATGTTATTTACCATTACAATATTGACATGAAAGATGGTTGCATAGATATGAGAATCAATGATACTAATATGATATTTAGATAACTTTTTTGGGTAACAAATGATAGATCTATCTAACTATCTAATAAACACCATTATGGAAATCCGTATTCAGCACTGTATAATAAAATTACAATCAATACATTAAATATTATATTATTTAATAGGTTTGAAACCAAACTAACACATATAATAAAAATGTTATTGAATTTCATATATATATATATATATATATATTAGGGTCCCTCCACATACCACCATCATCAATGCCCATTGGCATAATTGACAATATCTTATTAAAAAATGATATGCTTTATTTCCATAAAAGTGATCTAATAATCGACCGTTTCTTATCCACATCACCTCATCAGTGACAAATTTAAAAATATTTTTTAGGATAAGCACACAAATATTAACAATATAAAACTTTTATATACGAAATGAACAAAATAAAATTTTAAGATGAGCATGACTAATAAAATGAACTACTAATAAAAGAAAATTCAATTTTTAAAATGAGCATGTGTCTACCCTAAATTGTATGTTCCTTCGTCACTACACATCACTACGCAATTTAAAAGGGAAGTATGGATGACAATTAGTTGGTGGTGATGGTGATCGAAAGGTGGTTATTTGGGGAAGTTGATGGTGGAGCAACGAGGGTTTATAGTGTGAGGTCGGCTATATCATGTTATCGAATTTTTGGTGGTTTGCTAGATGATCTTGATTAGAGGGGGAAAAGACGGTGAAAAAATCACATACTTTAAAATCAATGTGATCTAATGATGAATGATGGAGATTAATGAACCATAAATTAAAACATTCAATGATGAATGATGGAGTTTGAGGTATTTTTCGATTAAATAGACACCATATTCATATTTAGAAAGACAAAATGAGTTTGATAAAAAAATTTGCTACTCATCGATCTTCATTGATGATGATCGACAATGGTGTGTGATGGTCAAAATCTGGACAAATAGAAGGATAAGGAAAGAAAGAAAAAAGAAAGAAAGAAAGAAAGAAAATGGGAAAATGAAGAAAAATGAAAAATGAATTTTATATGAATTAAAAACAACGTCGTTTTATGTCGTCTATCATAGCATAATACTATTAATTATTTTATGACATAGAAATTTAAAAATTTAATGACTAAATTGATATTTTTTAAATTTTAATGATTAAAATAAGAATTAAAATAAGGTTGAGCGTTAAAGTTTGTAGTTTACCCATATAACTATTCCTTGTAATTAATAATCACGTGGTGTTTGAACATTAAGCGTCTGGAATCTGGAGTCGAGTCGCGACGATTCAATCCTGAGTGAAGACTGAAGACATTGTTTCAGGACATTCGAATGCGCGTTTGGTGTTTTGAACAAAAACAAACAAATTAATGACGTTTTGAACAAAAACAAAATTAAGGAAGCGTTTGATAGTTGAAAAATATTTTTTATAAAATATTTTTAATATTTAATAGCAATAATTTATTTTATAAAAAATATTTTTTAATGTTTAATAATTGAAATTAATTTTTTGATGTAATTTATTTTTCTAGTTTCTTTGTATATTTTGTAAAATGTTTTACCACTTGATTTTTTCGTAAAAATATTTCTTAACTTTTCACTTTAAAGTAAAAACATTCAAAATAATATTAATTTTTTCGCTTAAATAATGTTTTGAGTTTGAGTCATTATGTATGCAAAAAATCTCTATTGGGAGACTCACTCACCAAAATCAGGTGTGTGACGCGGGTTGATCCGAATTAGTCAAGGCAAAACCTTGGAACCAGGAGGATAACAAAATAATAATAATATGAAGAAGAATATTTTATTTATTTAATATTAAAATGATATTTTAATATAATTTTAATGAAAACATTAATTTTATAATATAATTTTAATATTATTATATTTTTAATATTATATTAATATATATTCAGTTATATTATAATGATATATGATATGATATTTTAAATTTAATAGTATATAATAAATAAAATAATATTATTAAATTATTAATAATAAATAATATTATTTTATACATTTAATATTAATATAATAGTTTAGTACTATGTTAATAAAATACTATTTTTTTTGAATTAATCACTAATATCCGATCTATTGACCGTCTAATCCAGATCGGGTACTGCAGAGACGAGGGTAACTCTCCCAACTCAGTTTGCTCCATTCACAAACGCCAGGATTTGATCCCCTAATCTTACTTAAGAGACCTAATACCTTATCTCACTAGACCAACTGATTATTGATAATAAAATATTTAAAAATATATTTATTAATTTATTAATAATATAATTCCATTCAAGAATTGTAGCTTCAGTAATACATAATGATTGAAATTATCACAATACGTAGCCCTCGACACACCACCGCTGACAAGCTTCAGCTCTCTCCCACATAGAGATACTGCGAACTCACAAATGAATCATCTAATTCTTGTTTTCGTGGCAATTCTCTGCACCCGTCTCCTCAAAGTTGCCTACTCCACCATATGGATCCCTTTGAGAATCCAAAGCCATTTCAAAAGGCAAGGAATAACCGGCCCCGGCTACCGTCCGATCTTCGGAAACATGGCCGAGATCGGCCGTCTGTTCGACGAAGCGACGTCGAAACGATCGCCACTTCTCAACGGCGACCACGACATCATCCCCCGTGTGGCTCCATTCTACCACATCTGGTCTAGCATGTACGGGAAACCGTTTTTGTATTGGTCTGGTTCAAAACCGATTCTAGCAATTTCTGACCCGGATATGATCAAGGAGATCACTATGAACACAGGAGGTGGTTCGTTTGATAAAACCGGATTTGACCCTAAAGGCAAGATTCTATTTGGACAGGGACTTGTTGCATTGTTAGGCCAACAATGGGCACTTCATAGGAGGATTTTAAATCATCCCTTCCGCATGGAAAGAGTCAAGGTAATTAATGATCAAAGTTTTTAATCATGTCACTTCCAAACTTAATCAAACTCGAAATAATGATAATTTCTAATTCGGATTCAATTCGACAAATTTATATATAATACAGTATGATTTATGGAACTCGTGAAAACTGTTTTCAACAGGCGGGTTGGTTACCAGATATCGTCGTGGAGACAACTAAAATGCTGGAGAAATGGGAGGAAAGAAGAGCAGGGAGAAATGAATTCGAATTGGAAGTGTTCAAAGAACTTCATGAGCTCTCAGCTGATATTATTTCAAGAACTGCTTTTGGATCCTTTTTTGAACAAGGAAGACGAATCTTTATGTTACAAGAACAGCAGATGCAGTTTTTCTCTCTTGCAGTAGAAAGTCTTAATATACCTGGCTCAACGTAATCTTTTCCGTCTATGTTATTCTAACTTCATTTTCTTTAAAAACTTGCATGTATTCTACATATATTCGACTTCATGTCAGGTTTTGGCCAACTAAGAATAACAGAGAGATGTGGAGATTAGAGAAGGAAACTAATGAATCGATTCGTGCACTGATCCGAGCTAACAACAAAAGCAGAGACGATTCCTCGAGTCTACTCAGTCTCTTGATGTCTTCATATAAGAATCAGGATGATGAAGAAGAGACGTTGGGAGAAGATGAAATAATAGGCGAATTCAAGACCTTTTACTTTGCCGGAAAAGAAACATCGGCTAATGCTTTATCATGGGCGCTTCTGCTTCTGGCTTTGAATCCGGAATGGCAGGACAAGGCAAGAGAAGAAGTTGTTCGGGTCCTCGGAAACAATAAGGTTCCGGTTGCAGACAATTTGAAAGACTTGAAGATCGTAAGTTAACTCCTTTCATAGTAATATTTGCTTGAGCAAGGTTGAATCGTAGGTGATTCAGTTGATGAACAGGTGAACATGATAATCGATGAAACACTCCGGCTCTACCCACCAATAGTAATGTTGATGAGAAAAGCATACAAAGATGTCAAGCTAGGAAATATCGACGTTCCCGCCGGGACAGAGCTTTATCTGGCACTGGCCGCCGTGCATCACGACGTCGACGTATGGGGAAACGATGCTCACAAATTCAATCCTTCGAGATTCAAAGAGTCTCGAAAGCATTTAGCGTCGTTTATTCCATATGGTTTGGGGCCTAGATTTTGTGTCGGCCAGACTTTAGCCACCGTCGAGATGAAAACCATTTTGGCTATGATTATCCGGAATTATTCGCTGGGCGTGTCGCCAACGTACATCCATGCACCGAAGCTGTTCATCTCCCTTGAGCCCCAGAATGGCGTGCAGATAGTCTTAACAAGAACAACTTTATGATGCTTTTGAAGGGTCTTCGTCGATCTACGTAAAATAAAATTTGAATTTTCTAAGTTAATATATTTGAACTCGGCCCAGTTAATTATCATTATCTACTATGTAATATATATCTTCATGCTTAAATCCTATTCAGTAAATCTTGACCATACCCCACATTTCAATTATGTGTGAAGAGATAATGTTTTCTTTTTCGCAAATGGATAACGGTATCTTAATTAATTTTTTTTAAATATATCATATTAAAGAAACCAGTAAATGGAATTAATGAAAAAGAAGCCAAAGGACTTTCTTCATGGGAACAATCTTTTTCTGATAGACGGTCATTGATATATTCTTTTTAATTTAAATAAAAAACGATGATTAAAAGAATAATTATTCATCGGTTCTTTAAATAAAGAAAATGACCATCGGTTACCGAGTTTGCAGAGGAAATAATGAATTTTTATGAAGAAGACAATCGGTTATGGACAATTCATTTTTTTTTAAAATTTGTTGAATATATTTATTATTTTTTTTTTGTATTTATGTCAATAGAAAGATTATCATAATTAATTGTACGCCGAACAAATTAAATAAATATGATAATTAAATTTTAAATTTGGTTTTAACATATTACACAGATCTGTCAGTTATTTTATTTATACGTTGTAATTAATTAGATGTATGTGCTTAAAGAATATAAATTAATAGAATATTTCAATAACAGAAAAATTCTCAAATACTATCTTTGAAATTATAATAGACTTTATTAAAATAAATAATAATAAAATGAACCGGGCTTGGATATTAAAATCTAAAACTAAAATATTAATCATTATAAATTATATATGTATTAATTTAGGAGAAATTATTTTATAGACCCTCCTCACTATATAAGATATGATTCCAACTAATAAAATTAAATATGTCAATAATTATTTTTAATTATTATTGAATTTAGGTTTAATTTTTAATTAATTATTTATTTCCCTATCAGTATTAAATTTTCTTCTCTTCTTCAACCATTTAACTCCCCTCCCATCATTAACCACAACCACCATGACCATCGTCGGACGATGAAGTTCGCTGCTCAGGTTAATGAAGGAAGGTCAATAACATTTGCACGCATAGCATCGCAATGAACAACAAATGAACTGCTTCATCTTTGGGCACGGCTGTTACCCTTGAATCGACGACTTTAACAGCTTCATCTCCTCGACAGTTTGTCGTTAGTTTAGCCCAATGAATGATATCTATAACTTCGCCGAATTCACCCACCGATCTCCGGCCGGTGATCAGCTCCAGAGGTACCGATATGAAGCTGTAAACATTTACAGCTTGTTCATTTCAGTGGACGAGAAGAGCAAAAAATGAAGTGGACATTTACAACTTTAGAAGTAGACGAGAAGAGCGACGTTTACAGCGGTGCCAAATATGAAGCAATAGATCTGTTGTTATCGACGTGATTGAACTACATTGAAAAGTATATGTGGACAACTTGGGATCTCAAGATGGCCCTCTCGCAAGATTAAATAGATCATTAAAAATAATACAAATTGTTCTTGACTCAGTGCAAGACTCTGAAGGAAGATTGGAATTTGATCCATCGGCAGGAGAGTTTGCTGCAGCAGGTGTGCGGTGCGGTGGCCATGGTGGTTGTGGACAAGATGGGAGGGAGTTAAATGGTTGAAGAAGAGATGAAAATTTATGCTGTTAGGGAAATAAATAAATAATTAAAAAATAAACTGAAATTTAATAATGATTAAAAATTACTAACATGTTTAATTTTATTGGTCGAGAACATATCTTATATGATTAGGAGCAGGACCGGCTCTATGTATTTTTTGGCCCGGGACGAAATAAAAGAAATAAACCCCTATTTATTTCTTTATTTAGCGCCAAATAAGTATTATATTAATAGGCACTATGAAAAATATTATGGGTCATTGACGAAAGTCCCTCCTGTTCCGGCCCAGGGCCGGCCCTAACTAGGAGGGTTTATAAAATAATTTCTCATTCATTTAAGGATCTCTCAATTATTTAAGGAAAAATTATAAATCACCAATTAGAATTTTCAAGAAATGAGCATTATGGTCATGAAATATATGTGTACAATTTTAGTATTTATATTTTATCTTTCAACCTTAAGAAGAATTGGTACCATCGAACCAACTTGACTTAATGATACCCACCTGCCATTACAAAGGTTGGTTATGTCCAAACGATATAACATCCAAAAAAAACCAAACTAAATCAATATTCAAACCCAACCAAATAATAAATTCATTAATAGACCAACCTAAAAATATAATAAGGGTGAACTACATTGGTGTTTATTTTATTTTTAGTCTGTTTGATTTTAATTATCAATTTTGAAAAAGTTTAATATTGATCACTTTTATTTTCGATCCATCTTATTTTGATTATTGGCAGTTAATTGTAGTTACTTGTTAATAAAAATGGTTAAATTTTAACATAACCCCTAAAGTTTAAGTATATTAATAATATGAACTTAAACTTTATATAAAATGTTAATTTAAGTCTTAAACTTTAGATAAAATTTCAATATGACCTCTAAATCCAGTCAAAGTTTTGGCCGCCACTTATCATTGTTATTGGTCACCTTCGGTTGCCATCACTGATCATTGTCTCCAACTATCGTTAGATTCCAAAATTTCTAATTGACTCATTTTTTATCTTATAATTACGAATTCAATGTCTGTTTTCACCCAAAAATACATTAAACTTTATATTCCTGATTTAAAACTCTTAAATTTCTTTAAAAATAAAACGTAATAATAAATTTATCATTATATTCTTTTAGAAAAAATAAAAAAAATCTTAATTTATATCTTAATATAATCATTTTATAATGATAATAATTTAATTTATATGAGAGAATCTGGGAAGAAGAAAAGCTACAGATTCTATATATTAAAGCAAAATCAGAAATCCAAATACACCCTATCGATTAATGGATTATTTCTTCAGACCTTTACTCTTTAACTGATCAATTAATTTCTACGTTGGTTGCATATCTACAAAGACGGAGGCATTATTTTATGTTTAGGGTGAATTTATAAAATTTTAAGGAAGTGTGAATTTATACAAATTTAAAGAGATAAAAATATATTTTTAAATATATAAATATATATATATATATAATATAAAAAAATTTAAAAAATTTAGGAGACAATTACCCCTCCCGCTCTCTCGATATCCCTGCGTATGCCCGCTTGATTTGCATGTGATAAGCTTTTCTTCTTCTAGTGGGACAATAATAATAACAATTTCATGCATATGAAAAGGGTTTGTTGTTAGATGTTAATGTTCCTTTGAAATCTAACGTCATAGTTAAGTTGAACTTAAAAAAAAAAACAAAAAACAAAAAGGGAAGTGAAGTGTGTGTCTATATGTTATCAGTTATCACTTACCATCAACCCATAAAATACTTCTATATTTGGATGATTTATGACCCTTAAGCTACAATTAATATTTTGCTGCACAGTTAAGAAATCCCACTCTGGGCATATATTTTTCCATCCTCATTTATATAAGCTCTTCAAATGGAAGTGGCCCTAAAGAACAATCATGAAATTTGGATTTTATTGATGTTCCTTTTTTATACCACCAAATTTTGATAAAAAATATACTTGATTTATATAAATAAAATTATTATTAACATATAAATGTATTACAATATAAATTTAAATTTTTAGTGTTCTTATTTTTAAATGAATATAATGATAAATTTTTTATTGTGGTTTTTTATTAGAGGAATTTGAAGGATACTATACTAGGTTTATGATGTTCAGAGCATTTTTTTTATAAAATGAGACATTAGATTCACGTTCATGAGGTTAAAATTGAGTGAATAAAATTTTTGAGATCCAACTATCGTCGATGATGATGGTCGGTGGTGACCAATAATGATGATGAGTGGCAGCCGATTATGGAAACTTTGACTAGATTTAGAGTCAAATTGATATTTTATCTAAAATTTAGAGTTTAAATTAGTATTTTATATAAAGTTTAAGGTTAAATTAATATTCTACTTAAAATTCAGTGGTTAAGTTAAAATTTATCCACTTTAACTATTTATTAATGTGATAATTAGTATGTTTGTTTATTAATGATCAACGTAATTTAATTAATTTTTTTATTCATAAAGTCTCATTTGATTTTGAATAAAGTATACAAATAGTATCCGGACTATAAGATATTATTTTGTTAAGTTCGTCACCTATGAAAAATTATAAAATAGTCCCCCAATAGTAGAAAATTATTTTATTGAGTCTCTTGACTATTAAAAGTTACACAATGATTATCCGACTATTTATTATGTTCCAAACTTGTCATATTCCTATAAAAAATTAATGGTCGTCCGAGTTGGACATTAACATAATGACTGAGATATGACAGTCGTTTAAGATTATGAGATCAAATTTTATCATATCTCAGTCAGCGTGTTAACATCTAGCACAGACGATCATTAATTTTTTAACGGAAAAGAATGATTTTAAAACATAATAAATAGTAGGATGATCATATTTTAGTTTAAATAGTCGATAGACTCAATAAAATAATTTTTTATAATCCTAAGACTATTTTGTATCTAATTGTCGGGACTCAACAAAACCTTTGTTTTTTTTTTGTTTGGGGTATTTCAATTATTATTTTTACTATTATTTTTGCATTTTATAACAGCGTATTAATTATTAATTAAATTAAATAAATGCATTGATCTCAACCGAACCGATAATGAAGATCTTCTGACTTCTTTGAGGGTGGGAAGTGGGGAAGAACACTGAACAGGAATCTTCTCTGTAATTTATATGACAACTAGCACTTAACTAATAAGTTGAAACAAGTGCAGATTAATGGAAAACGACAGACTGTAGAAAAGTCGACGACCTTATTCCATAAATGATCCGTTGGATCGTTTCTTTCATCAAAATCAGTTGACCAAATCAAAATCTTGTCTTCTCTACCAAAAGTAGGAGTAAATTTCCAAGCTAGCAAGCTGCAATAGACAAGTTAGACGAAAAGTCTTTTAAATTCTTCATCCATGGCG